CTGGCCTCACTGGGCCTGCTTGGGCCCACCTTGCCTTCATGGTTGGGGCAGGAGAGGGGGCGGCCAGCCACTGCGCTGAGGGGGTGGGGGTCCTCGGGGTCGTGGGCCCCATCGGGTGCCTGCTGCATCGCCTCCATAAGGCTGCTGATGAAGAAGTTATTCTGCAGCGCGGAGACGCCCTGCTCGGGGAGAATGGACGTCTGCCGACACACGGGGCAGGACAGCGTCAGGCTCTGGGCAGGGATATAGTTCTGGAGGCATCTGGCCAGGGAGGAAAGGAGGGGGTGGAGCAGCTCAGTGCACAGCTCACACTTTCCGTGGGTGCTGATCCCTCTCCTCACAGGGCTGCCCTTACACTTCATTTGGAAACCCCTCTGGTTGGCGCACACATCTTGTCCGGCCAGCAGATATAAAAGGCCTCATCTCTCAGGACTGAGTAGAAGCACATCCCTGACCTCTCTCAGAACAGCTGACATACCCGCATTCCTCACCGTGTACACAAACACAGGTTCACCTTTCACAGGTGTTTACAAACCTTTCTCACAGAAAAATGTGCAACTAGCCCGGACTTTATTAACTCATTAAACATTTACTGACTGCCTACTCTTGTCGAATTTGTGCCAAGCTCTAGGGATAGAGAGATGAAGCACAATGCACACCTCTAAACTATTTCCAGTCTACCGAGGAGTGTTCACAGAAGTACTGAAATAGAGAGTTCATAGAAGTAAACAGTGTAATAATTAAGGGTATGGATACTGGAGCTAGGCTGCCTGGGTTCAATTCCCAGACCAGTCACTTATTAAACTGTGACCCCTGACAAGTTACTTAACTTTTATGCGCCAAGGATTCTTCCTTTGTAAGATGGGGATAGTACAGACTTCATAGGGTGCTGGAAGATTAAATGTAAAATGCCTAACTCACAGAGAGCACTAAATGTTATAGGATATGAGTATTTGCCTAACTCACAGAGAATGCTACATATTGTAGGCTATTATTTATCATTAATAAAGGGAATACAGTAGACTGCACTGATAAGAAAATGCACAGAGGGACATCTGGCCCAGGGTGGGTGGAGAGGGAATCCAGGAAAGGCTTTAGAGGAGGTGATGTAAGCTAAATCTTCACGGATGAATAATGGTAGTCTGACCAAAGGAAGGTACAGGGAGAGGAGGAAGGGTGTTCCAGACGCAGACGGCATCCAGAAACAGCATAGTGTGGGTAGGGAATTATAAACAGCTCAATATGGCTAGAGACCAAATCAATACAAGGAATGGTAGCAGGAGTCTAGAGAGAGACAGGGGCCAGTTTATGGAGGGTCTCGTGGGCCACACCAAGGAGCTCAGAAGTCATTGCAACAGCAAAAGGGAGCCACTGGAGCACTGGACAGCCGGGTTTACATTTTATCAAGCTCCTCCTCACTGCCTCTCGGTGGAGGGTGACTGTGAATGTGACAAGATGGCAGACAAAGGGTGGTAGTATCATCATCATCATCATCCAGTGACCATTTATTAAGCACTATGTGTCAGGCACTATACTTTACACTTTGTTTATATAAACAGACTCAGAAAAGGTAAGTAGTCCAAGGTAACGAAGCTAGTGAGCACTGGAGCCTGGATCCTAATACAAGGCAAAGCATGTGCTTAACCAAAATACTCTTGCAATAGTTTAGGCAAGAGATGAGAAGACCTGGATTTAGGCAGTAGCAATGGAGGCTAAGGTGGAACAAATCTGAGAAGTATTTAAGAAGTACAGCTAGATATAGATGAGCATGCCATCAACACTTCGATGGCCTCTGTAGCCATGGGAGAGGGTGCAATCAGCCAAGAAGGGGTAGGCAGTGATAACAGCAGGACAGAGCACCCAGCAAATACTGAACGAGGGGAGCAAAGAGCAATGGGCAGAGGGACGGTGGAAAGACAGTGTCAGAACAGCAAAGTGAGCAGCACAATTCTAGAGGGAGGGAATGAGTAGTCATCGGTGTCTGCAGCAGCGGAGGAGTCAGGGAACGCTAAGGACTGGGAAATGCCCATCCAATCTGGCCAATGTGAGAGTACTTTTGTCTGAAAGGAAAACAGAGAGATCAGAGTGGTAGGGGAAGAAAACCTTGACTGCTGCCAGTTGAAGAGCGAACAGGAGGTTGGAAGTCTGAGTAAGAAAGGGGTTGAGGCATGAATGATACTTAGGGGGGACAAAGGCACAAACAGTTCTCATTTGTTTGTGATGGGCGCCTTGAGCATGTTTATAAGTTGAGGAGCCAGTAGAGAAGGAGAGGTGGAAGAGACCAGAAGACGTGGGGCCAGGTCTAGGGATGGGGAAGAGGCTCAGATTGGTCTGAAGAAGAGGAATGGACCACATCCTCTGACTGGAGGAGGGAAGAGAGAGACGGATGGATGTACTTGAGCACAGGGGCAAAGTCAGAGAGACTGTGTTTAACTTGTCTCAGGCAAGGTTAGCTGCTGAGAGTGAAGGAGGGAGGATTCAGGAGAACCAAAGGGCTAGGATTAGTCACTGAAGGGTGGAGGGGAAGCTTACAGACTGCCAGTAGCATGTGTGGAGACCATGAATTTGTGGAGGGAATGTCTGCATGGTGCAAACTTTCCAATATCCTCAGTCTTTTCTGTTAATGTTCTCTATACCTCTAGATCTGAACTAATTAATTTTATTTATTTAACAAACAGTCTGTGCCAGGCATGACTCTAAGTGCTTCACAAATATTAACTTATTTGTGACCTAGTTTCCCCTGCAGTCCTCTCAAGTACAGAGTGGGTTTTGTCTCATATTCCACATTCCTTGGGGCCAGAAGGTGGGGTTGAGTCCTCCCCACCCCCAGCTGGAACATTTCTAAATGATTCTTCAGCTCCTTGGAAGTTCACGCCTCTGTCTACACCACCCCTCCTTTTCATTGTCTCTGCTGCCTTAATGGTTGCTTCCCCAGTTGCTAAAATCTTGCGTCTGGCTTACTGTCTTCTGTTCACCCCTGTCCTGTAATCTACCTCCCCCCAACACACACACACACACACACACACACACACACACACACTCTCTCTCTCTCTCTCTCTCTCTCTCTCTCTCTCTCTCTCTCCTAACATCAGCTCCAGTAGCTCTGACATCCATGAGGTGACCCATCCACTATCAGGATTTCTTAGTTCCTTAATCTCCTTACCCCCAGTGATCTTTTCCTCCACTTCACCTCAGCTGTCCACTCCCATGCTCCCACCACCGCCCATATCCCATCACTCGTCACTGCATCAACTCTAAACTCTGCATTTCTACCATTCCACTCTGTTCCCCAGTAGCCCTCTGCCCATCTCATGGAATCTGGTGTTCCTCCTGCAAAATACCTTCGAACTCATCAAGACCTCCTTACTTTGGTTGAGCATACCTGGCTTACAATAGCTGCCTAACTGGATTCCTGTTTCTACTCTTACTTCTCTACAATCCATTCTCAACACAGCAGCCAGAGCAAGCTTTTAAAAATCTAATTTATATCACATTATTTCCCTGCTAAAATAAATCATCTAATGGTTTTCCACTGCATTTAGAATAAAATCCAAACACTTTCCTAACACCACCAAGCTACTCCATAACTGTCCTGACTCTTTTGGACCTCACTTCATCCCATGTTTCCCCTCACTCAGCCACACTGGCTGCTTTACTGGTCTCTGAACATGCCCATTTACTCCCTCCTGGAGGCCTTTGATGGAACACTGCAAAGAATTTCCCATTGCCTGGAACAATCTGCATGTGTCTTGCCTCCTTCTTATCCTCAGATGTCAGGTCAAATATTACCTCCTCAAGGAAGCCTTTTCTGATGACTCTATGTAGAAGAGCCCCTGGCCCAACCACCTCCACTTACTCCCTGTTTATTTCCTACAAAACACTTAGCACAAGCTGTGACTCACCTAATTATTTGCTTGCTTACTACCATTCACTTCCCCCTAGAACATAAGTTCTTTAAGAGCGGGGACCAAAAGATAAATGAGTGAGGAGTAGTTAAGAGTGAAGGCTCTATAGAATACTATAAACAATTATACTCTAATGAATTGACAAACCTAGAAAAAATGCATAAATTCCTAAAAACATACAACCTTCCAAGGTAAAGCATGAAGAAACTGAAAATCTGGATGGACTGATTGCAAGTAATAATACTGAATCAGCAATTTAACACTGCCCCCAAAAAAACAAAAGTCCAGAACCAGATGGCTTCACATGTGAATTCTACCAAAGATTTAAAAAAGAGTTAATACCTATCCTTCTCAAATTATTCCAAAAAAAAGAGGGAAGAAATGCTTCCAAACTCATTTTATGAGGCCAGCAATACCCTGATACCAAAACCAGACAGAGGCCCCACAAAAAAAGAAAGTTACAGGCCAATATCCTTGATGAACATAGATGTAAAATTCTCAACAAAATATTAGCAAACCAAATTAAAAAACACATTAAAAGATCATACATCATGATTGAGTAGGTTTATTCCAGGGATGCAAGGATGATCCAACATCCGCAAATCAATCAACACATTAACAGAACAATAAAATTCATATGATCATATCAATAGATGAAGAAAAAGCATCTGGCAAAATTCAAATTATTTACATTAATTTATAATTTTAAAAACTCTTAACAATGTAGTGGTAGAGGAACTGTATCACAACATCATACTCAATGATCAAAAGCTGGAAGCTTTTCCTCTAAGATCACGAATAAGACAAGGATGCCCACTTTCACCACTTTTATTTAACTTAGTATTGGAAGTCTTATCCATATAAAATTAGGCAAGGAAAAGAAATAAAAGGCATCCAAATTGGAAAAGAAGTAAAACTGTCACTATTTACAGATGGCATGGTATTTTATAAAGAAACCCTAAAGACTCCACCAAAAAACTATTAGAACTAATAAATAAATTCAGTAAAGTTATAGGATACAAAATTAATCTATGGAACAATTTTGTGTTTCTATACACTAATAAGCTATCAGAAAGAGAAATTAAGAAGACTATTCCATTTACATTATTTTCAAAAACAATAAAATAGCTAGGATTAAATTTAACCAAGGCAGTCAAAGACCTGTACTCTGAAAACTGTAAGACACTGATAAAGAAATTGAAGACAACACAAATAAATATAAAAGTATACCATGCTCATGAACTGGAATAATTAATACTGTTGAAATGTCCATTCTACAGAAAGCAATCTACAGATTCAATGCAATCCCGATCAAAATACCAACGGCGTTTTTTACAGAGCCAGAACAAATAATCTTAAAATTTGTAGGAGACTACATGATAGCCAAAGCAACCATGAGAAAGAAGAACAAAACTGGAGGTATCAGACTTCTTGATTTTAAACTTACTACAAAGATATGTATAGTAATCAAAACAGTGTGGTACTGACACAAAAACAGATACATAGATCAATGGAATAGAAATAAACCAAATAGAAATATATGGTCAATTAAACTATGACAAAGGAGGCAAGAGTATACAATGAATAAAAGGCAGTCTCTTCAATAAATAGTGCTGGAAAAACTGGACAGCTCCATGGCAAAAGAATAAAGCTGGACCACTATCTTATACCATATACAAAAATAAATTCAAAGTGGATGAAAGACTTGAATACAAGACCTGAAACAATAAAAATCCTAGAAGAAAACATAGGCAGTAAGCTCTTTGACATTGGTCTTAGCAATATTTTTTGGACCAGTCTCCTCAGGCGTGAACAACAGAAGCAATAATGAACAGGTGGGACTACATCAGTGTTACTGATCACAGGATCATGAGACATGAGGCATGGACAAAGCGAAGCCACGATGGAAAACTCAAGAAGTTTGGACTTTGCCCTTTGGACAATGGATAACTGTTGAAGGAATTTAAGCAGGAAGTTAGTGACAAGATGGAACCTGTTTTATTTTATTTTTATTTTTTTAATCCTCACCCCAGGATATTTTTTTCATTGCTTTTCAGAGAGAGTAGAAGAGAGTGAGAAACATCAATGTCAGAGAGACACACTGATTGGTTGCCTCCCACTCGAGCCCCTCCTGGGCCTGGGGATGGAGCCTGCAACCAAGGTATGTGCTCTTGGCCGATGCTCTAACCACTGAGCCACACCAGCCAGGGCTGGAATCTGTTTTAGAAGCCTCATTCGAACTGTGAGGGGGATGGAGGAGAAGCACAAGTGAGGAGTCAAGGATACATACCAGTTAGAAGGCTATTGCTGCGTCTCAGGAGAGAACTAGTGGTGACCTGAACTGGGGGCAGTAGCTGTGTGGTTGGAGAAGGGGGATAACATATTTAGGAGGCAGAATCCACAGACCTAGATAGTGACTGAATGTGGAAAAGAATGCAGTCCTGGGCAGTAGAGCTGGAATCTGAGAGAACAGGGCTAGAAGGGAAGCAGAGTCCCTGGGGCAGAGCCAGGATTCCGTGCAGGCAGGAGGCAGAGGGAAGGCATGCATGGAGACAACAGTAAGAAGACCCAGGGACCAGGTTATTCAAGTCAGAGCAATGAGGGATGAGGGCCGGAGAGAGAATATTGTCCAAACACAGAAGTGATCATGTTTAAAACCCTGCAAAGGCTTCATGTGGCTCTCTGGGAAAGATTCCCTAACAGGTCCACACAGCTCCACGTGGTCTGGCCTCAACCTTCCTCTCTAGCATCATCCTGTGCCACTCTCAATCACACTAGCCTGGCTCCTGCCTGGCCAGGCCTCCTCTAGGCTCTCTGACCTGACACAGTCACTCATGCCACATGGCCTTTTCCCATGTTCTTCCTTCTGCCAGCAATGCTCTTACCATTCCCTCAATTTAGTTAACTCCTACTCAGACTACAGACTGCACCTCAAGGAAGCCTTCCTTGATTCTCCAAACTGTAAGATCCATATGCTAAGCTCTCATAGCTTAGCACTTTATTTGCAGCACTTAAGGGTGCAACATTACATTTACCTGTAGCCTGGCTATGTGATTATTTGAATACTTTCTCCTTCACTATACTATTAACTCTTTTTTTTAAAAAAATTTTTAATTTATTGATTGATTGTAGAGAGAGAGGAAGAGAGGGGAGAGAGAGAAAAACACTGATTTGTTGTTCCAACTCATTTATGCATTCATTGGTTGATTCTTGTGCCCTGACCAGGGATCAAACCCACAACCTGGGTGTATTGGGATGATGCTCTAATCAATTGAGCTACCTGGCCAGGGCTATACTGTAAACTCTTTAAGAGCAAAGATATATCTGCTTTTGCTTATCACTGCTGGGGACAGGGCTGGCACACAGTAGTTGCTTGTTACATAAATATGTGTTGAATGAATGAATAATGGATAGAAGCTTAGAGGCTGGAAGGGGTTGCCTTTTACCCAGTGCCCCAGGACAACAATGAAGATGGGCAGAGGACAGGCCTAGCTTCAAATATCCTCCCACTGATCACAAACTCTTCTGGTTCCAGAGCTGGTTTAGAGTCTCAGCTCCAACTTCTCTGGTGCTGTCGAAGGCGGTCTTGGGGCTTGGGAAGGAGGCAGAAAAGCCCTATTCTGGGCCCCTGCCATAACCAAGGCCCAGTGTTATGAGCTTCCTGTTCTCTCATGGGTTCTTGCATCAAACCTCATCTCCTGCAGGGTGGGGTTTACCTGTTCTCTGCATATGTACACAAATTTCCCTCTTATAGATTTACACATGCCACTCCCCTCTCAGGGGGCCCTGCAAGGCCTTTCTCCCTCCCAGGACACATACCCCCGTACCTCTCACAGAAGGTATGCAGGCAAGGCAGAACCTTGGGGCACCGGTACCGATCCAGGCAGATGCTGCACACCAGGAACTGCTTGTCCATGGGCTGGACCTCCGGGCCAGGGCTGTCCTGCCTCTTCGCCATGGTGCCCACGGATGGCTCCTGCCACTCACAGCAGCCTGTGTATGGAGAAATGGTCAGCACTAGGGAAGTCAGCACTCCCTCCCCCACCTGACCCCCCACCCCATTCAAATCCCCTGCAGAGACCTAGCCCCATTTTGTCCCTGCCAGGGGCAGGACAGGCAGTGAGTGATCTGGAGGAAGCAGAGTGAAGCAGGTGGGCTGAGTAACCCATGGTTAAGAGCACAGACTTAGGGTTAGATTGAGTTTCAAACCAGTTCAGCCTCTTACCAGCTATGTGACCCGGCATAGTTCCCACAACCTCTGAGCCTCAATTTCCTAATCTGCAATTATGAGAATAACAATCCCTAACTCAAATGGCTGTTTTGAGAATTGCAATAGAGCACGTCGGTTGCATGGTACACGGATGCCCACTCTCACTGACACTCCCACCCTATATCTCCTCTGCCTCCCTCAAATCCTCCAGGAGACCTTCCTGATGGTGTGTCTCTCCTCTGACCACCTACAGCCTCTCCTACCTCTGGCCCCCCTCTCAGCACAACTGCCCAGGACTGCATTCTTTTCCACATTCAGTCAGTATCTAGGTCTGTGGATTCTGCCTCCTAAATATCTTATCCCCCTTCTCCAACCACACAGCTACTGCCCCCAGTTCAGGTCACCACCAGTTCACTCCTGAGGTGCAGAACAGCTTTCTAACTGGTACGTATCCTTGACTCCTCACTTGTGCTTCTCCTCCATCCCCCTCACAGTTCGAATGAGGCTTCTAAAACAGATTCCAGCCCTGGCTGGTGTGGCTCAGTGGTTAGAGCATCGGCCTGCCGACTGAAGGCTCCTGGGTTCGATTCAGGCCAAGAGCACATACCTCAGTTGCAGGCTCCATCCCTGGTCCTGGGAGGGGCTCAAGTGCGTGGGAGGCAACCAATCGATGTGTCTCTCTGACATTGATGTTTCTCTCTCTCTTCTACTCTCTCTGAAAAGCAATGAAAAAAATATCCTGGGGTGAGGATTAAAAAAATAAAAATAAAATAAATAAAATAAAACAGGTTCCATCTTGTCACTAACTTCCTGTTTAAATTCCTTCAACAGTTATCCATTGTCCAGAGGACAAAGTCCAAACTTCTTGAGTTTTCCATCATGGCTTCGCTTTGTCCATGCCTCATGTCTCATGATCCTGTGATCAGTAACACTGATTTCTTTTCAGTTCTTGGAAAACTCCTCCTTCTCTCTTACTACTACGCAGTCACACATTCTGTTCCCTCTGCCTGAGACCCTCTTCCAAGCTCCCCTTTGCCTGGCTGACTCCCACTTGTCTTTCCAATCACTGTTGTAAACATCACTTCCTCCAGAAGGCCTTCCCTGACTTCCTGCCGTCTGGGTAAGGCGCTCCACCTTTGTGTCCCACAGCACCCTGTATTTCCTCCATCCCAGCCCTCATACACTCTACGGTAATTTTCTTGTTACTTCTCTGCTTCCTCCACTGTACGCAGAGTTCTTGAGGTCAGGCATTTTATTCCTAGCACTTAGCACAGAGCCAGACATAGGACTGATCTATAGTTACTGAATTAATTCAGTAATTTGACAAATATTTATTAATGCATAGGCATTTGGGATAGAGTGATAAACAAAACAGCTATGGCCACTGTCCCTATGGTAGAGAGGTGGTGGCCTATTTTAAAAGTAAATAAACAAATGCATAATTACAAATCGGGAAGCGGGGGTAAAGAAGGAAAGGATGCTATGAGGAAGAACAGTTTTTTGATTGGGTGATCAGGGGAGGTCTCTCCACACAGATGAGTTTTAAGCAGAGCTCTGAGGGATGGAAGGAAAATGGTAGGGATGAAGGCGGAGGCATCAGAGAGTGAGTGAGGGAAGTCATTCTGGGCTAAAGGAGCAGCACATATGAAATTTCTGAGAGGGCTCATTAAAAAATCGAAAGGACTATGCAGTTACAACAAAGTAAATAAAAGGCAAGAGGTGCCCGGTCAGCGTGGCTCAGCGGCTGAGATTTGACCCATGAGCCAGGAGATTGAGGTTCGATTCCTTTTCAGGGCACATGCCTGGGTTGTGGGCTCGATCCTCAGTAGGGGGCGTGTAGGAGGCTGCCGATCAATGACTCTCTCATCATTGATGTTTCTATCTCTCCTTCTCCCTCTCCCTTCCTCTCTCTGAAATCAATTTTTTTTAAAAACTAAAAAATTTTTTAAAAAAGGCAAGAGGTGAATTTGGGAAGATGGGCTGAAATGAGATCAGGAAGGACCTTGATGTTAAGAATCTAGATTTTCTCCTAAATTGGAAGAGCAATGACGCAATTTACAAAAAATAAAAATAAACTAAAAAGCTACTTTGGCAGCTATGAGGATTGAAAAGGAGCCAGAGTAGAAGCAGGGAGACCAGTTAGGCAGCTACCCCAGCTCTTCAGTAAGACGCTGGGTATTAGCAGAGCTACAGGTAAGAAGGTATATTGATTTGAGAATTACTCCTGAAGTTAAATCAAAAGGAATTGGATGTGAGAGGGGAAAAGGAATGTCAAAAACGACCCCTCCTTGCCCTGGCCTGTTTGGCTAAGTGGTTTTCTCCCTTGAACAAATGGTGGGCCATGCACAGACAGTAAGAGCTTAGGGGGTGATTTTGGGCGTTCTGTCTTAGATACACTAAATTTGAGGTGCCTGTGTGATATCCAGGTAGAGATGTCAAGTAAAAAATAGAATGTAGGAGCTCAAGGGAGAGGTCTGGGTTAGTTACTAATTTGGAAGCACTGGCATGTTAAAGGCACCTGAATGGATGAGACCACCTAGGGACAGAGAGTGGAGAGTGAAGGAGAACCCAGAGTGATGGCAGGGAAACCAGGGGAGTGTGGGGCCAAGGAAATCAAGAGAAGAGAGTGATTCAAGAAAGGAGTGGTGAGATAAGATGAAGATTGAAGAGTGTCCACCAGGTTTGGTTGCGGAGGAGTGGCAGGGTCAGAAGCCAGGTAAGAGTGACTAAAAAATGAATAGAGATAGAGAAATTAACACAGTGAATGTAGACAATGAGTGAAATCTTGCCATGAAGAGAAGCAGAAAGATAGGTGGAGTACTTCAAAACAGGCAGTGATTAGGAGCAAGTCAACACTATCTGTGCCTGGCTATGAGCACCACGGGCCTCTCTACCGATAACGGATGAACAAATGTTTGCATGCATGCAGTGGGGCCATTCCAGAGACTTCTCCAGGCTTGAGGAGGGACCTGAGGGAGGCTGGGCTGTGTGTGTCTTCTGTTTGAGTGAGGGTGGACATGGGAAAGTGAGGAAGGGATGCCTGAGAGCATTCTCTCCTGATGTGGACACTGGAATTCTGAGGTTCTCTCTCCAGAGGTGACAGGTTCTGAATCTGGAAACTTAATACAAGAACAACATAGCAGGAGGGAGGACAGATTGAGGGCTGGTGGAAGAAATAGGAGGGCAGAGCCAAGCTGAAGCTTCTGTCTGAAGGGGAGGGCAAAGAGAAAGAGTAGGCGTGGCCTACTGGGCCCTGCTGGGGCAGCTGATGTCAGGCTCCTCCTCTCTCCAAACCCCAGGGGCTCTCCCAGCCAGTCACAAAGGGGCGGGGATTGGGCTACTTCCAAGGTCCACCAGCTCCTCCCGAGCTTCCCCTTCCTGCTTCGGTTCCCCACCCAGGCTTGCCCAGCACCAGCGCAGCCTCTGAGGCCACAACGCTGCCTGGATCCCTAGATTCCCTTTGGGATTTCTACTTCCACCTCTCCCATCCCACTGTGCCCTACAAATCTGCCCCCAAGGTCCTATAGTCAATGGCTTAAGTGGACTGTTTATCACAGCAGACACTGGAGGGCCTTGAACTCAGAGCTTAGATTTCACCCTCTTTCCTACTGCCATCCCACGTTGTGTGGCTCAGTTCTAAAGGCACCTCATTTCCTCATTCGGCATTCATTCAAAACCTCTGCGAGGCCTGGGAATACAAAGATAAATAGTCGCAGCTCGGCCTTCATGGATTCCACAATCTAAGAAATAGATCACTGCAGTGCAATGTGGTGAGGGTTTTGATGGGGAAGCACAGATTGCTCCAGGAGCACAGAGAGCACCTAACCTAGATGTGGGGTGGCGGACAGGGATGCTGGAGGTTGGAGGACAAGGGAATTCTCCTGAAGAAAGTCTCATTCAAGCTGAGAGCTCCAGGATGAGTGACAGTTAGAGAGAGCATGGTGCCTTCCGCATCAGGAGACTGAATGATATACCGGGACAGGGGAGGGCTAAGAAACAAGATGGGTTGGTAGGCAGGAGCTAGATCACACAATGCTTTGCTGGTCTTATTAAGGAGTTCAGACTTTACCCTTCCCTGGTAGGGGATTAAGGCTTTATCCAAAGAGCAAAGAACTCTTTCTTGTGGAGCAGCGGGTAAGTATAGAGTGATAGAGCTACAAAGTAAATTTTTTACTGCTGTGTGGAAAATTGTTTAGAGGGGACACAAGTAGAAAGTTATGAGACTGCTATGATATTCCAGAGGAGAGATGATGGTGATATTGACCAGGGGAGTAGCAAAGGGAAGGCTGAGAGAAAGGGATTTCATAGAGAGGAGTCAATAGAACTTGATGGCTTAATGGTCTGATGTGAAGAGTAGAGGGAGAAGAAAGAATTAGAGATGATTCCTAGTTTTCTGGACTGAAAACTCTGGAAGAAGAGCAGTTCGGATGAGACGGTGTTAGGTTCTGTATTTAATAAGATGAATCTGAGGTGTCTATGGGATGTTCGAGAGGAGAGGTCTAGCTGGCAGTTGGAAAGATAGGCTGGAGCCTAGGAAAGAGGTCTGGCCTGGAGATAAATATTTGGGAGTTGGTGGTGTAAAGACGGTGCCTGAAGCCATGGAAGTGGATGGCATCACCCAGTGATGAGAAAGGAGAGCCTGTGACTGTGCCCCAAGGAACCTCAACATTTAAGAGATAGGCCCAGGAAGCAAAGCCTGCAAGAAATTAAAAAGGTGTGGCCAGAGAGGTAGTTTGATTGATAGGTTGATCAGCTGATCAAATAGTTCATTTTCCTAC